TTCTTTCTTTCTTTTTGGGAATTTGTTGTTTGATTGGATTTGGGAGACCAGGACAAGATACCATATGGGCTTTAGGGTAATGGAGTGAAACAGCATTCAAATGGGCTTTGGATCATTGTTGAGCCTATTGAATGAGATCCATTGAGTAGTTCTGTAGTAGTGAGCTAATTTCCATCTATTTTCTTATTCAAGCCCTGAACCTGAATAGTGAATACAAACATTTTTTCGGCTGGAAAGTGATGGATTCTAGTACTGAAAAATGGATCCTCTTTCAAGACAAAGAAATGACTGCCCTATCCGTGCGATACATGCTACTAGGTGTTGTTGTCCCTTTCAAGTAGAAAAATGTTAGGAACGTTAAGATGCCTGCTTAATGACCAGCTTATAGGGTAGTGAAGGTTGGGATTAGGCAGGGCGTTTTACCTAAATCCCTACATTGATCCTTGTAAAAGTCATTTGATAATGGGTTATATGATAAAATGTAATAAGTAACCTTTTTAAATTTCTTTTCACCTATCTTGAGCTATTGTGTTAATATGTATTGAGTATTGACCTTTTTTTCATAAATGAATATGAAAATTATTGTATTTTTCCCTCTTTAGCGCTGTTTCGTTCCGAGTTTAGTAATGACAGCAAGCTGGAATACTGTCTACACATCAATCCTGTTTCATGTTGAGAAAGGTTCATAAATATCTAAAGATGAAGAGCAACGTAAGAACCCTAGTCGGTGCACAACATGATTCGACACCGTAATGACAGAAAGCCATTAAAATCGGGTTCAATTAATTATGGGTCATGACACAGAGAGTCCATGTTTCTTAGCGCCATTGGTTCTTATTTTCATGAACAAAAAAAGAAAGGTCATGCCATGATTTGGTTGTAGTTTGATCCAGTGTTTTTAAATTCTACTTGTGAATTGTTTTTTGCAAAATTGGACAAAACACCCCTAAATCTTAGGGCAAACGACAAAGGTCACCCAATTTTCCATTTCTGTCTTCTATTTAGGAATGGCTTATAAGCTCACTTTGTCTCCCCTTAAATGCCATTTTTCATTCCAATATGGCACAAATGATATGTTATTTACATTTTATATCTCTATTTATGTTAAACGTCTTTTAAAAGGATGAAACCGTGAGCCTAATGGACTAATAAAGATAATAACTCCACAATTAATATCATCATACACCATGTTACAGCCATTGTCTTCCCAAACAAAAACTAAACCATTGTGGATGAGGGTTGATAGACCCACCAGATTTCCCTAATTAGAAAAGGTAGATGGATAATGGGGTCCATCCCGGCCCTCACCTTGTGGTTTTTCCTTTATTTTTTTTTCCTATTCCAAATTTTGTCAATTTTATAAGGTTTATCCTTATTGACACTTTCTATTTTTTCTAATGGCAATAATCTATGTACCTTTTCTTATTTGTTAGGCATAGGTACTCGAATCATCCGTACCCAACCCTCTTTTTGCCTTGTATTGATATCTCCTCTAGGGTCATCATAGATATCACACCTTCATTTCTTTGATACTAATTAATTATCTCACCACCATTAACTTAATATTTGAACACAGGTCAGAGATTATCTTTATATAAAATTAGTTATTTTTAATTCAAGTTATAAAAGTATAATAGTCAAATGAGAATAGAAAAGATTATTTAAATAAGGCTTAAAAGACATGAATTTAATCTCAAACCATGTCCTAAGAGGCAAAAGACTAAGATTAAGATATGCTCTTAATCGAAAAACAGAGTACACCAGTATGTTCATATTATATCAAAAAGCTCCTTTTAGTCCTTTATAAAATACCCATTGTTTTAAATGTTAATAAAATACAAAAGGTAGTTATCCTATCAATTCATCATCTACTTTACTAGCAAAATGCACGATGTTGGTGTCCTTTCCTTTCCAGGGTTCAGTGATCTTAAAAACGAGGAAAAAAAAGGTTGCTTTGTGGTCAAGTAAGTATGACCTTAAATCATTAATTTAATGTCAATAAGAAATATATAATATAATAGACCAAACAAAGCAGGAAAATACCTTACAACATGAAAAAAAGGTATAACAAAATATACCTGAGCTAGCAGTTGGGTGATATAATAATTCAATTGTGGGGACAAATGCTTGTTTCTTCGCTTGGGTTTGTTGCAATTTCAAGTTGAAAGTTAGATTAAATTAACTTTGAATATGATGTTGACTTCACCAATCAAACACTTTTCTAATTCATTGGATTAATAATCCTACTTGTTCAATCAACTACTCATTGTAATCTTTTCATCTCAAATCCAATGCCTTTTTTCTTTGTCAATATATAATTCTCTTACTCCATTAATCATGTGGTCTAATAATAAGGTTACTTGTGTTCTTAATTACAAGTTTAAAATTTAATCTTTAATCTTTACACACTAAATATATATAATTATTTTATTATCTCATAAATTATAAATTTAAAACAGAGAATTAATATACCGTTTTATTTTATGATAAAATTTTTATAATACTCATGTAAATTAATTGAATAGATATATATAGAGACATAGGAATTGGATGTGACTTTATTCTTGGTCATATATGACAGCTAGAAAGCAGAAGTAGGAAGAAATGGAGTGACAATCCTCCATGGGGACAAAAGAGAGACAAGTATAAATATTATTTACTTCAATATAAAGACAAATAGTTTGTGTATATTTTAGTACTCCTAATGCTTTTGTTATTGTTGGCATTCATTTACCTTTCACTTTTTCATTTAGTTATTGTGTTGTTATTGCTCTCCTCATAGAACTGACAAACAGCTTGCTTTGAAGCAGGACCAGCTCTTGCGGTCAATAAAACAGGGGGCTTCTTTAAAATTAAAAAAAAAAAAAATTCAATCAAACTAGAAGTAGAATTTTAAAATTAAAAAAAAAAAAATTTGATTCCTAAACAGAAAAAAAAAAAATTTGATTCCTAAACAGAAAAATCAAAGACAAAAAACAGTACATCAATCCCATGAAGCTTCTCTTCATTTCTAAATTCATCAAAACAGGGAATATTTTGTCACTGTACATCCCAATTAGATAATCGAGATATATTTTTTTCTCTCTCTCTTCTTTTTATATTAATTTCTCAAAGGAACTTCTCCATATTTGTTTTGAGTTTTACTTAGAACTCACTAAGGCAAGGGATGATGCTCTGTTTTCCAGAAACAGAGTCTTTTTCTGTTCTGCAATGAAACTTCTTTTTCTGTTCTGCAATGAAACTCTCAATTTTTAGATTGAACTCCTCATTGCTCAAATGGTCCATTGATTTCCTCTGCGATTCTGTGCCGGCGATCGTCGTATCCGATCTCTGCAGTTCCGGCCGATTTTTGCTCCCAAAATTCTTGGACATCTCCGATCGGCTCCTCCTGTAGTCCTTCTTCTTCACCACCATCACTGTACCAAACGCAGGCTTTGTCTCAGCAACTGTCACCGCACTAACCGTAACTTCTGTCTTCGTAACTGTACTCAGAGTGTCCTGCTTCACTGGAGAAACCACACGCTCTGAATCCTCCATAACTGTCTCCAGGATGGCTCTCTTTTCCAAAACCGCATTGTCCTCAAGAATAACTTGTTTGTCCACCACAGTGTCCTCCACAGGCTTCTCCGCCGTGTTTCCTGTTGCGTTCCAGCAGGATCCGGTATACTTGTCGTAGATGTCAGGTGAGCTCGTTTTCCGGAAGGATAAAACGAAAATAACGAGCATAAGGAGGTTGACAAGCATAAACCAGAACAGAGGCCGGTCTAAAACGGGTACAAATCCACGAACAAAACCTCTGGAAATCTGGAGAGCGTAAGGGACCCTCTTTGACAACCAGGAGAGTGAGTAAAAGGCAAGAAGAAGCTCACACAAGAGAAGAAGCAGCTTCTTCAAGGTTTGCGTCAAGTTGACTCTCCGAAGAGCCTTAGCTTTCTCAGCCTTGACGTTGTCAAATTTGATGGAATCCATGGCGGAGAACTGAAATTATGTCAAATCGAAGGCTGTTAAAGAGTATATATTTAAAAAGTGAAGCAGTTCGGAAATGGAAGAGAAGAGATTTGAAATCAGCAGGGAATCTAGAGGTGAGGATTTTCTTGAGAATGTGATGGAAGATAGAAATTGAAAGCGGTAAAGGTTGCTTTGGGTGACCTTGTGTGTGAAAGGCTTTACACAGCTATATTCTTCGGTTTTTATTTTCCATCTAACGGGAATAGGGAAACTTTTATTTTTTTATATTAAACGGTTAATTGTTTGGTAAGTACATAGGATTTATCTTTTTATTTTAATTTTAAATTAAAAAATTTAAATTAATGAACCATTAAATTAATTAAGTTTTTGTTAGTAAAAATATTTTTTTTTTTGAACATTGAAAAATTGAGAGAAGAAGAATAACATAATAAAAAATTATATTATAGCATCCATGGTTAACGTGCATCCAACCAATGCAGTTATAGTTACAAGTGGTGAAAATATATATATATATATTTTTTTAAATTTGTTATTTAAAAATAATGTTTTCATTTATTAAAGTGAAATTGTTTTAATATTGGATCCCATGTAGGGTGGAGGGAACATGACCCGATCCGCGAGTGCAGAGGTGGAGACTGAGACCCACGCGTGGGTTTTTAGGTGCACGAACCATACGCAGACAAGATGAGAACTGGCCTAGCCTAGTGTGTCGGTAAAATTCCTTCTGTTCTTCTTTCTTAATTTTTAAATTCCACCTTTTTTTTTTTGCCAACCAGTGAAAAATTTTGCTAATATTAAAAGTTTGGTAATCCATTTATGTACTCATACGTCTATTCTCTAAATTCAATACTATAAAATACTGATTTTGCAATTAGAACAACTTTCTTTTTGGGATGCATTAAATAAAAAATCTTGGATATGGCATGGCAATTCATTCCATTTTGTATATCATGTGGAAAAAGGTATTTCCTATGAAAAAAAAAGGGAGAAAAATAATTAGATTGAGATGAGGAGCATTGCTTTTGAAGGAGGGAAAGCCCACTTGCTAGATCAAAAACATGTTTTTTTGGTCTGTTAGATAAACTACCTGTGCATAGTACATGGCCCTCATCTGAAACAATAACATACTAATCATGTTGGAACTAACTAGCCACATATATTTTTTCTATTATTTTGAGTTACAAACAATTAAAAATCTTTTTAGAAGTAAGGTAAACCATATCTCATTTTTTAATTTTTGATCTTTATATTATATAATTTGAATTTAAAAATTTTTATTTTTTTAAAATTATTTCAATCATTGATATTAGCCACATATATATATAATTGATTTTTGCACTAAATTAAATCCATAAAAAATATATAAAACTTAAAAATCTGAATCTAAGGACGTAGAATGTGGTTGGCAATTAACCATGGATTATTTATTATGATCACGCATGGTAAAATTTGTACTACAAAATTCACTTTTATTAAAACTCTAATCCGTGTCACAAGGCAAAACCAAAATTCGTTTCCCCAACTTACAATAAATTTGTTTCTACAATCAAGATGATGAAGAATTTGAATGAGAAAGGAGAAAAGGCAAAGACAATCATGCTGTTCAACTAAAGGAGAGACATTCAAGTTTCAACCTTAACGTGAAATTGCATGGGAAAATCCTGAATGAAGTGAAAGAAAAGTCGGGACCAATAATAATGGTAAGAGATGAAAAGGCATTGTGGGGCAGTGTGATTGTCCTCAAGGCGACAGCATAAAATGTTTTAGACTATTAATTTTTTAATTTTTTAAATAGTATTAAAAAAATATAAATTTATTAATTAATAAATATTAATTATTAAATTAATCATTATTATTATTTTTTTTGAATATTGAAAAATACGGGAAAGATAGAGTTTACAAATATTAAAATCATGGTTTTAATTTTGACATATATAAACTTTATTAAATACAATGAGTGTTATGGATGTAATTATTATTATTTATTTTCAGTAATTAAATTAAATAAAATTAATATTTTTAAATATAATATTTTATCATTTTAACATTATGAGTAATCATTCCATCCACACCTGTGCAGGTGCTCTGCTAATGTAAATCGTGGAGAAGGGGTTAGAAGTCAAGTCATCGTTCAGTTTCTCCCGAGGACAAAGAAGCACTGACACTGATCTCTCAGTCTGTGGTTTAAATTGTGTACCTACCAAGAATTGGTTGATTCATAGAGCTAGATACTTAATTACGCGCCACGCTGCAGTTAGCGTGAACATCACGTGCTGCCGTCCTGCATACTGCAACCGCGTACAAGTTTGTGTATCACGTCAGGCCCTCTACCCGTATGAAACGACCTTGACAGAGGTTTTTTCAGGTTAAACCTTCATTTTAGTCTCTTAACTATTATACAGATTTTTAATTTAGTCTTTCAACTCAAACAAATTCTTGATTTGATCTTATTATTTATCATTTTGACCCCTGGATCCTTCTTTTAAAAATCTATTGACATATTCCGTTAACTAATGGAAGTACAATTACATGTCAAAATAGCATGACAAGTCAAATGTATACTTGGAAAAATAGATGACATGACAATATAACATATTTCATTCTTGCTCAAAACCAAACAAAAAAAAAAGATGGGGCCCACCCCTGCAAAAATTTGAACCTTTCTCCCCCTTTCTTTCCATTCAAACCCTAGAACAATAGAGCTCTTCCTTGCCTTGCCTTGCCTTCTTCATCAATCAATTTTTCATCATCATTAAGCAATAAAACCCACACAAAAAAAAAAAAAAAGAGAAATTTTTTTCAATTTTTTGCCCTTGGGCTTGAAAGAACATAGGCATGCTTGGTTCATCGAACCTAGCGCCTGGGTTTTAAAGAACCCAATGCCTGCTAGGTTTCAAGGAGAAAAAGAAAGAAAAAAAAAAAAGAAAGAATTTTTAACTTTTTTATATTAATATTTTTTTGTCATATTATTATTTTTTTTCATCTCATCATTTTTGGTCAATGTTGTCTTCCCATGTGTATTAAAAATTTGACATGTCGTCATGTAATATATAGTTAGTTAACGAAACACATCATTGGATTTTTAATAAAAAGACCAAGTTGGGGCCAAAATGGTAAACAATAGAGATCAAATCATGAATTTTTTGAGTTGAGGAACTAAATCGGGGGTTCGTACAATAGTTGAAAGATCAAAATTAGGGTTTAACTTTTTTTTTTACTATATATATTAAATTTTAAAATAACTTAGTGGTTATCTCTTTCCGTTGGAAGTTAGAAATCCTGAGTTCGAGTTGCATGGTATACGGGTGGGGTGAGATAAATGATAAGAAATGATTGCCTCCCATTGTGTAACCAAGATCAAAAACAGAAAAAAAAAACTTTAAAATTATTATTGAACTCTTAAACTTTAATTGATGCATATAAATCCTTAGACTTTAAGATTTGAGCAATTTAACGTTCATTCTTATAGTAATTTAATCCTTATTCTTATGGCAATTAAAAAATTAAAAGCTAAATTGCTTAGATTGTGGAGTCTACGAGCTTATATGCATAAATTAAAGTTTGAGAGCTCAATAGAAATTTGGGATTAGTTTAGGGGCTTAACTTATAATTTTGTGAATTTTTTTTAATAGAAAATGAATAATATTATATAAAGGATACAACAAATCAAACTTTTTTGTTTTTTTTTTGAACGATAGAGATTAGGGTTTCGGGGAGAATGGTTTCAATTACACTGCAATTGCAATTTAAACTCTTAATAAAAAGGTTAGGGTGATTGGTACACTTCCATCATAATTAATGCCACAAGTGTGAAAAAAAAAGAGAGAGAGAGAAATCAAATTTTTAGTAGTTAAAATGTCAAAAAATCTTAATTTTTATTTTTTTATTTAAAAAGTCTCATTATTACAAATGGAGTCTGGGAGTGATCTAAACCAAAAACCCTCTCATGGGACACTAGGCGAAGTTAATTAAGTAATCTTATGTGCTAACTTATAATAAGATATGATGATATGTGAATTTATTTGCATATGGATAAATTGATGTCATAAAATTATTAAAATTTGTTAATAAACAATGTTAATAAATATGATTTCAAATAAAAATAATTCAATTACTATAAACATTACATATGGATAAAAAAGTCTAAGAGCATGTATTTGAATTATAAATTTACTTGCTAGTGACTTCTTGATAGATGTGGTTCAATTTCATTAAATTGATAAGACGTCTACAATAATTTGTGGTGCCAAAGTTTCAATGGTGAGAATGTGCTTTACATAAAGTCGGGTCTCATGTGTTGAGACTAACAACTTAATGCCAAAAGATGGGGGATTCTAGATCAAGTTTCTGAAATGGATGTATCATTAATGTTCTTATGTTCACAGAATCAGCTCAATCACATTGGAAAATTTCCCACCATTTCTCTAAGTTCTCCTTTGACTTAATACATGCTTAGTGATCTAACACAATCCGAGGTTATCTATCTATTTTGTTTGTGCATGTGTGAAGTGTTAATAAAACATAGTAAAAAAGACAAGGTATTTACATCCCTACTTTCTGATTTTCCACAAGTCAAGTAAGGTGGTTAAATTGAAATAGATAGTTTTCCTAAAAGCAAAAGGAACCAATTAATGTTGTTTGGCTACTGAATATGCAAACAATTTTTTTTTTTTTTGCATAACTTTTATATATTATTAAATAAATAAGTACATATAATACTATGAGTTTCAATGTAACGAAGAGAGTATAAAAAACTTGTATAAACAAATTGTCTCTTAATCATTCTTCATATTGTTTTCAACTAGTTTAACAACTTTTTAAGTTTAGATTAACACAATCTTTGACATATAAATCTTATGTCATTAATAATCAATCATTTTAATCTATATATGCCATTCATGTTCCAATTAAGTTAATCACAAGCACTTCATCATAAAATTAACATGAGAATTACCTATATTTGCTTTAACCCAAATCAGTCACCAAGAACTAAGAGACCTTTAATAGCCTTCACCTTTTGGCTCTGATAATTAATGGAGTGATTAAGATTAGGTAAAGGTGGTGTTTGAATAGCAAATTTGTACATTAGCTTAGAAAAGGGTTACATTCATTTGGGGTCCAAGAAATGGAAGGGTAGAATAATTGTGCATCTCCAAACAGTTTATTTAATTTCCACACCCTAGTGCCCACCACACCTGTTTTACATGAACAAACTTCTATTCCAACACCAACATTTCTAGAGTGTTTAGTCTCAATTATGTATTCTGAAATCATTTTGCCTCCCCCACTTGCCATTCTTTTCTCACTACAATCCACGCTTCAAAGTGATCTCCTCTAAGCAGTTTTCAAGGATAAATAAATCAAATTAAGCAGCAACACCATCTGTCCCCCGTGTAAAGCAAGAAAGAAATGGAAAACAAACATTATTTAGATAGAATCACTCTACATACATTGATGCAAGTAGATTTTTCTGACATCGATGTTTTTAAATTAATGGATATTTCTAACTTTCACTTCTCCAAGCATGTGCATGATGGATTGCTATTCTAGTTCTGCATAATTATTTACACTCTTTTGAAGAGTAATTAAGTAAATATATATGAAACGATTCGCTACATCTTTTACTTTTAAAATGCTCCAATGGACAACAGCCAAAAGAAAGAGTTAAAGCATTACACATCCACAAAAGCATGGATAAGAACAAAGCAAATTAACCCATTTCTTTGAAATTCAGCCACGAATGGTGGAGATTTAAAAAGAAAGACTATCCCCCTTTTCCCACATTATACATGGAGAATACCCACCAATAATAATAAGGCAGCCAAAGCTGGCTTTTAAGCCCCAAATGCCACGGATGTTGCTAAAAGATCAGAACTTTCAACAAATTTCTCCGAAGAGACATTTCATCAAACACTTGGCAGACAATCTGGGACGTCGACACTCAAGTTGGATGAGCTAAAGCCTAAAATCAAAGATCAACCCTACCCTACTCTATCTTTTTGACGTCAAACATATCTACCAAATACGGGAAGAATTGAGAGGCGAATAAATTTATAACATCCATACAACAAGAACGGAAAGCGAAGCTTTATCTACGGTAACGTACTTTTTTTCCTCATAGAACAAAAATTATTGATCTGACTATGGTGAAAGTAATAGTTATTTAATTATTGGTACCTAATCTTTCAAAGGAAGAGAGTGATAAAAGCACCATTTTAGTTTCTTAATGTAAATTTCTTGTCGTAAAGGCTCTGATCTTCATGTGGATTTGGGGGTAACGTGCATGGAAGGATATATGATAGGTAAGTGAAATGGAAGTTTCAACAACTATTTTATCCATATTCAATAGAAGGCATTCCCATGGAATTACCATGAAGTTGTGTGATACCATAGTTTTCTTATTATTATTATTATTATTATGCTATATAAAAACTAGCCTAGTCTAACAAATTCATATTTTAATAATGTGTTGTGCAACAAAGTAGTGCAAAAATGAAATCCCGAATACAGCCCATCATTAAGAAATTAGTTTCTTCTAACAAGGTTTTTGGAAGTGAATACGAGTATTGCCAAGATGCAGGAATTGTGACACAGCCAGAATCAAACTGATAAAAAACCTAGAGCAAAACAGCAACTCAGACACAATTTCGTTACTGGTATGTGTCATTCAGACATAACATCAAACATAATTCACGCATTCATCAATTGGGGAAATGAGATCATGTTACCTTTGAAAGAACAATTACAAGAGTCTGTTAATCTATTTCTTCTTTCCACCTTTGGCAGGGGAAGCACCCTTGCGCTTGGGGGGCAAAACAATCTCGCCCTTGAGCACCGGAATTTCCATCATCTCAGACAACTGTCCGAATTTCTTCCTGAACTTCTCCACCTGGTCAGCCTCCACCACAACAGCCGACCGATTTCCCAGGTAGAAAGGGTGGTTCCCCGACCACACGTCCACCGTGTACTCCTTCTGGGTCCCTCCCGTCGTCATCACCAGCTCCCCGTTGCAATACACCTTCGCATCCTCATAAAACTCTGGGTGTATATCCTTCTTCCTGCAGGTCACCAGCGGCCGATAATTCCCCGCCGCTGCTTTCGATACCCTTTTGACGGGGAAGACAGCGGGACGAGAAGGTTTGATTTGGAGGAATGAATTGGATAGACTTAACGCCATTTCCGTGTCTGCTTAGCGAGTCTGAAGGATGAAGAAAGGGGATATCGATAACGGAGACATTTCTGTGATGGAAATTGGGAAAGGAAGATAGGGCTCGTGGGCTTTCTGAGTGCTGATTGGGTATTGGGCCGGATGTCTCAATCCAGTGTTTAATTTTTGGGTTTGAGCCTTAATGATGAAATTTGGGTCTCATCGTTTCAAGCCCGTTTCTAAAAATCCCTGTGGCCTTTTTTTTGGATGTTTTTGTGTTGGATTTTTCTGGTTTTGGGTTTTTTGTTCTGTAGTTTTATAGAGTGATGGGATGTACGATCGAATAACTAAGTGCTGTCTCTCTCATTTGGGAACTAGGCCATTCTTGTCCACAGAAGTTTTTGTCAAAACAATCATTTTACGTTTTATTTTATTCTTTAAATCAACAAAAATAAAAAATAACGCATTGGTTCATGATTTGTGGTTCTTAATTATATATATTTTAATATTGAGGATGAGATTTAAACTTTATTCTTGTCAAATTTTTACATGAAAAATATTTTATAACGAAAATATGATCATTAGATCATAAAAACAATCTCTATCTATTTTCTTTCTTTGGGAAAAAAAAAAAACATTAGAATACCATTTTTCTAGTGTAACAATCATAACAGCTATCCTTAAAAAAAGAAAAAATCATGGAAAGGAAATCTTTATGTCATCTCAACTTAGGAATCAAAAGGAGAGAGAGAGTAATTAGTCTGATTATCATTTGCGTTACCTTTTTTTTGGATGAACGATTATCATTTTGTTTTCAATTAATGGAATCTCCATCTTGACATGTAGTTGTCCGATTATCTCTTAATAATTAAATTAATATTTTTTTAAATAATTTTAATAATCTTAACAATTTTTTATAACTTGGTTCGAGTAGGACAGAGGGGGCGACACTGAGAACTCATAATTAAGAAAGCGACGGCCACGTCTGCATCCGAGTCCGACTACTTCCTCAAAATATCTGCCGTCTGTGTTCCCGTGGCTCACTATCGCCCACCTGTCACGCGACACTCCAAAATCTTACATCACCCATCACACCCCGTCGCCGGCGACGTGGCCTTTACTACTTGCGCCTAACACTCTGAGAAACAACCACAGCCTCATAACTTGCACATTCCAGAATCCAGGCAGCCAGCCTGCCCCCCCACAATTTGCAGCGAAACCTTGACCTATGCTAAGGGTTCAAGTCTCCTTAATTAGGGACATTTGTCAGATGTCCTCCCTTCCCTCGAAATTCCATTTTATTGAAGAAAAAAAAAAAAGTTGGGGTAAAAGGTGAGGAGTAATTATTTATTATTATTTTAAAAAATAAAATCTCAAGTTAAATTTAAAAATTGAAAATTTAATTTAAAATTTAAAAATTCACTATATTAAATGTTAATATCTAAATTTGAAGATTGATATTAATATAATTAGTTTTCAAATTTAAATATCAATATTTAGTAAAGTAAATTTTTAGATTTTAACTTAAATTTTAATTAACTAACATTATGTAATTTGAAATTATAACTCTAATTTATTTTAAGAATTAAGATTAATATGTATTTTTTTATGTTATATTATATTTTTATTTTTTATATTAATTAAATTTAAAATAAAAATTTATATAAAATTAATTATAAATACAATAATTAAGAAGTCTCACTCTAAAGATAGAAGATAGAAATTTTAATTTTAAAATTGAAATGAAATTGCCAACTATTTAAATAATTTAATGATAATATTCTTCAACTTGAAATAAGAAATTTTAAATTCAAATAGTATGATTTGTGAGTAAAATAAAATTAAAACAAAATTGACACTTATTATACAACTAACATTAAAATAAAAATGAAAATCGACAACATCCGCAACCGTACAGACCCATGACACCGACCATTTCGAGGTGCAACGAGACTCAATTAATAGGATGAGTCAGAAGAAATGATTTTTGGAAAGAAAAAATCTAA